ACATGCAAAGAGAAGGAATAAACACTAATGTGTGCCATATATTTGGGCCCAAGGGTGCTCTATTTACGCATGTAACATGTTAAACATGTGCATAAAAGCAAGAGAGATAAAGGCAAGAAGGGAGCATTGCCTTAGAGAGGAGCCACGTGTGCATTTTGCACACAAACACACAAGACTGTTGTGACTATAGCATGACTCAGCTGATTTATATAGGTTCAGTGCAGAGCTAAAACAGGAGTTCTTAGGAGCAGGGCTGTTCTTCTGCAGTGTGTTTTCTGTGATCTTGTGTGCATGTATGTGGATACAGATGTATGTAAAACCTTTCAGAAGTATTTACATCCTTTAAGCTGTATTACATTTTGTCATGTTGCAAACATAAACTTCGGAATATTTAATTGAAAACTTTAAACTATAGATAATATGGGGCACGATTATGAAGTTAAAAAGAACAAATAGAGAATCGAAAAACTATAGCATGCATAAGTTTAGCCCAAAGAGACTCATTGCTTGGTACATTCTCGAGAACTCTGGCTTTAAGATCAATGCCCTGCTGGAAGGTGAACCTCCACTGCAGAACAAAAACATCCCCACAGCATGCTGCTGCCCTCACCATGCTTTATTTTGGGATGCGATGTTTAGGAGAAGAGTTTCAAAACATTTCAGCCTGTGATCCCAAAATAACTATGCAACAGACTGGTGACCACTTAAAAATACATATGACTACTTTACGCAATAATCGTTTATACATATGAACAGAAGTAATGGTATTCATTTTTAAATAGATTTCTTTTATAATGAGATTAAATTTTTTAACTCATAATATTACATTTTTAAGTTCAACATTTAATTATTTAATTGTGCACTTTGCAATTTAATGGTATGTTTATTATCTGAATCATGTATTAGATAAATAAATCTATTTTATGGCACGTTTATTTATTTTATAGGACCTTGATATTTAGTATTTTTTCTCCTACAACTCATGACCCCGCCCACTTTGGGAGCCCCTGGTTTAGGGTGATGTACAGTGTTGGTTTTCCACCTCAACTAAGTTTAAATCTCTAGGTGCTGTTTTTTTACACATGAATAACTTGTGCATTTTTTTGAGCTTTTTAAGTGACCTAGTTGTACTAGATTTTATGTAGAAGCATCGGGGCAAATAGGGCGGATCTTATTAGAAGATCTGTTTAAATCACTGTGCTTACTTTCCTCAGGGTCCACAACTAGATTTGAACGACTCGCTGTGTGATCAAAAACTCAGGAAAGAAGTGTTTGTCTTTTTTTTCATGGTGTTTTAAAATTCACAGATAAAAACTATAACCTTACTCTCTACTGTGCCACTATAGCACTCGTTTACCCTCACCTGTGTGCAGGTATCCGCCTTTCTCCAGCCACCAGAATGACATCACATAGCTGCCTGCTCCTCAGGTAGCCCTCCATCTTGTGGAAAGTGACATCAGCATGAGACATAGCAGTAAATAAGGACTCCTCTGGACAGGCGCATGGCTCCATGGACACGCATGAGGACAGGGTTGCGCTGCTGTTAGATGTCCTGCGGGAACACACGCAGGCACAGAGAAATTACTGAGTGTAAAACAAGCCCAGAAAGCTACATATAAAATGAACTAGATTTGCCTCTTGCCGATTTTGTTTTGTTCGCAACACAAACAGCAGCTGGTCTGGGGTTTCGATATCAACACATTTCCCTTTGCATCATTTCCTCACATGTAGTCACATTTCTACAGGCTTACCATATGTTACCAGGAGTATACAAAAGCCCTTTAATGGCTCAATTACCAGGAGTAAATGGACAGATAAATTCAACCCACTTTAAAAGAGAACTTGGCAATTAAATCACTGCAGGAGCTGAGTCTGATTCATTCTGCCGGTTTCCTTCTGTCTATTACCATAAAAAGGTTTTTCCACCTCAAGACCTTATTTTCCATTTCTTAGGTTTTATTTTCAAATCAGAAGCTGACAAGGCCTGGGTGGTAGTTTAATTACACAGAACTATGTCAAATATGTGGAAAAACAGCCTTTTTGTGGCTTTTCAAGAGAAGTGGGGGGTGAAAGCTGTACTTTGGATCAGAAAACAACAGCTAAAGAGGCAGGATTGGCCCGTAAGCATATATAAAAAAAACTAAACATTTCAAGGACAAAACCATTTCAATAATTCAGTTGTGACAGTAATGACCCTCTTTTACATATTTGCAGTGTCTTTATGTTAGTCTGACTACAGCTCTGGGTGCTGGAAATCACATGGGGTAGAATAAAATGACGGATCAGGAGAAGCGCATAGAACTGGAAAGACCAAAGACATCTAGTCATTATCAGATTCTTCAATCATATAGAATGATCCTATAATGTATTGATTGGCAAATTTAAACATTTGCAACTTGATTAAATAAAAGCCTTATTTTTTCCTGGAAGATAAATATTCCAAATTTAATATATTAATAGAAATGTAGTTATTCTTCATAAGGAATAAAAGTTGCCTATGATTTATTACCTACACTGATCATGAGGAGTAATGCTCTGACACATTCCTAAATTAGCAGCAGTCTCTGCTGCTGCTTTCAGCTCCATATAACAGATGTCCCATCTTTCTGTTTTAGATTTATCTTTTTATTTTGTTTTGTTTTTTTCTTTCAGGCAAGCAGACAGCAACCCCCCCCTGTTGGCTACCCACTCAACACAAAACACTGCAGCTTGACAGTGAAACCAGAGCTCCGTGTCGCTGAGATTCAAGAAACCGCTTTGGAACCGGTTCTTTCCATGTTTACACAAGTTCAAGGACTTTCCAAATGGTACGCTGGCAGTGCAGCAATGATGAATTGGCCGCTATACATTAGAGAAATTTATAAAATCAGTCTCATAAGAAGAAAAGCTGTTCTGGATGTTCAGCATCCACTGGGCCATCTAACAGATAGCGACACAGAGGATTCCACTGCCACAGTGTGGGGGGGTGTCTTTTATTTTGTTACACTTAACTTATAGAACAGCTGTCCTGAAGACCAGGTAGCAATGAGTTCAGATATTTTCTTTTAAAACAAACTAAAAACAAAATCCTTTAATTATTTAAATCAAGTTTATAGCAAGTTAGTTATCAGTTAGTGTTGTTATTTTCTGCAAGTTTAATCAACTTTTACACAATACATTTAAAATGTCCCTTTTTATTATTAAAGGTGATAATGAAGAACTGCGATATAGTTTAAAAATAATGTTCAAAATTCGTTATTATATGCACTAACTATTATATGGTCTAACTAGTGTTTTTATTATATCAATTCATCAATTTTAATCTGATTCTTTAAGTAACTTAAAAATAATTCTCCACTGTTTAGGTGCTAATCTAAATGATTACTTATCAATTATACCTCATCTGTATGACTGAGTTCCTTTTGCTTTTTATTCCTCGTTTGCTCTGATGATCCATATTCACCTTTTTTATGCGTCTTTGATCATCGAATTTTGTGTGTATTTATTATCTACATATATGCCTTTCAGTTTGTAACCTCTGTGAAGCAACTTGTGTTATACCTTAGTCTCTGTAAATGGTTTTATAAACAAAGCTTGACTGAGTCACGTATGCACACACTCATACCCTAAGGGTGGAGAGAGAGAGACCAGCTACGTATGCATTTAGACTGGAGGAGGAAGGGAGACAATCCGGTGAAAAACTCATGAATGCCTTAGAACATGGAAGCTACACATAGAAACAACCCAGGCTGAGATTAAAACCGACAACCTTCTACAGTTGATCTGATAATACAATTTCAAACTTGATATCGATAGCAAGGAAAATATTCATATTTATTTGATAGAATGGGAATAAAAAATGCCATATAATTAAAAACATCAAAACATTTTTTTAAACATGAAAAACCCACTCTTTTCTGCCTCAACATAGAACGTGAGATTCCTGATCGGGACGTGGTCATGAGAGGCTAATCAACCCTTGTGTAGGTACTACGCTATGCAGGATGCCTGATGAAGCTGAAACGACCTGAAAAAAATTCTTTCATGCATGAAAAATCATCCAAAAAAGGCTAAATAAATTAATTAATAAATTAATCTTATGGTATATTCCCACCCTTATGGCTACCACAATCAGAAATGGAGTTGTACATACTGTGCTTCACCATTTATTAAAATGCATGTATAAATGACACCTGTAAGGAGACATGCTTACAATGTATTTAAACTCAGGCTTTCAGTAGTGCAGTAGAAAGTTGGAACAGAGCAGCTGTGAGAGAATTCAACATTTATTTGGAATTGAGGTAATTTTTTAACGTGCAAAAAAACTAGAAATCTATAATTAACAAAAGCAAAAATATGCAAATAACACTCATTTATAATAGAATACAATAGAACAGAAAATCCCTTTATTGTCCCACAATGGGGAAATTCTGCTGTAAAAAGATAAATCTTTCTGCCACGCTTTATGCCGAGTGGGGTCGCGGAGGTGCTGGTGCCTATCTCCAGCCATCAACGAGTGAGAGGCGGGGTACATCCTGGACAGGTCGCCAGTCCATCGCAGAGCAACACAGAGACAAACAGGACAGACAACCATTCATGTACACACTCACACCTAAGGAGAATCTAGAGAAGCCATTTAACCTAAGGAGTACCCAGAGAGAATCCACGCATGCTCAGGGAGAACATGGAAACTCTATACAGAAAGACCCCGGGCCGGGAATGAAACAAATGAAATGGTCACAAAACTGTGGACCCTAGAAAAATGTATAAGAATAACATAATAGTGAAGAGTCTTTCTGGATGGAGCTGCATGTTCTCCCTGAGCGTGGGTTCTCTCCGGGTAATCCGGCTTCCTCCCACAGTCCAAAAACATGAATGTTAGGTTAATTGGCTTCTCTAAAAATTCTCCCTAGGTGTGGGTGTGTGCGTGAATGGTTGTTTGTTATTTAACTATGATAGTAACTGTGCAAAATCAGCATGAATGTAACAACTTATTGAGGTTGTTGGGAACAGTGGTGGTTATAGAGTCTTACAGCTGTTGGGAGGAAGGATCTGTGATAACGTTCCCTGGTGCATTTAGGGTGCAGCAGTTCTGCAACAGCTTCATTCAGGGGGGTGATATTATCCAACAGACATATTAATTCAGTTAGGATCCTTTTGTTTCCCACCTCCTGCACGGATTCCAGAGGGCATCCAATCACAGAGCTAGCTGGTACTCCACGTTTGTGGTGACCGACCAACTTTAATAATATTACTGCCACCTACAGGGCTGGAGTGAGAAAGTCCACATCTCACAATTAAATAAAATAGTATCCAAGTTTATTGCCTTCGCGATTTGAAAATTGGGACATCGATGTGGTTAATGTTGATAAGACAATGTCAGATCAGTGAACCATTTTTAAAATTATAACATGTTACCCTGTGGATTGTTAAAACATATTTTACACCACCATTAACAAACAAAAAAGGGTGTGCATACGGAGAGCCTAGAGGATATTTATTGCTTGTGTAGTCTGATGTGTGTTTTGTGTGAGTCCCATTTTACTCTGGCTCTGTCTGCTCTGTGTCCTGTCTCCACTTCTCCAGTTAATCTCATCATTCGCTCACTTCATTCCACCTCGTATCATCATCCATCCATTCCTCCATCCATTTCCCCTCTTCCCACATCTTCAACCAACCCTTTGAGGAGGCATTCTGGCTCGCTTCCCTGCCCTCAAGTGTGCAGAGCTGTGTGTGCACGTGTTTTTAAAAAGTGTGTATGTAGATGAATGGTGTGGCTAAATACTGCCAGAGGGGACAGCTTTGAAGTGGGGGAACGCTGCCTTCCAGTCCCCTTAGCCGAGTCTGGCAGCCACTTAACAGGGACATAGAGAGACGGAGTGGGAAAAGGAGAAACAAGAGAGAGTCTCACCACAGAGCTGGATTTGTTTTAAACCCCCTGCACAAGTCGAGGGCATTCATCCAAACGTCGTATAGTCTCCAAACACACAAATGCACGTCCAGCCACCTTACAGCATGAAAAAAAAGATAAACTCTGGACAGAAGGTGGGAGATGGTAAGTCAATGAGGCACACTAATGATAAATGTGGGGTGTGAAACTAGAGGAAAACAACAGGATACGATGAGATTCTGCCACCCTGGTTCATGGACCATTAAATTATACACAGATGATCTCTGTGGAGGCGATAAGCTGCATTCAGAGCAGTATGAATATATGCATAAAAAACAAAAACAAATACACCACTCACTGTATACACATGTATGAACCAAAGACTAACGGCTGCGTTGGTATGGCAACCATAAAACGTGCAGGGATGCAGCTGGATGCCTGTGGATGTAACATGAATGCATCAGATCAAACTCTGTTACACCTGTGTTGTCTGTTTTGAAGTATTTTTTTTTTCTTCCAAGCTTTGCTTGACACAGATAATATACCCTTCACGTAAAAAAATGCAGTTCTCTTAACTGACAGAATTATAGATTAACAGTGACAACAAAGAGGCTTAAAATAAAAAAGCCTCAGATATTTGAGTTTCAGAAAGTACATCAGTTTGGTCATCTGAAAGCTCTTTCAAAAGCTGTGTGTAGGTAGCTATAGGGGGGATTGTGAGTGCATGGTGCCCTGTGAATCATTTCAATTATCTGATGATGATCAGATCAGGCCACTGATAGGAGGCTTGTGAACACAGAGATCTTTTACAGACTAATAGACCAGCAATACCGCCTTTCTCTCTACCTTCACTTCTAAAACATACCATAGTTGCATGTAAAAAGATAAGAGCTACTATTTTTCCCAAGTCCATGCCACAAATTAATTAAATGTCCCTGAACACCAATACAGCCAAATCTTCGCACTGGTGTAATGTAGAATTATAACAATAGATTTGCACTCATCAGGCTACTGCAGTTTTCTTCAAGGTCTGACCTGCAGGTTTTAATGTTTGCAACACATAAAAGGAAAATGTGTCTTGTGTTCTTCATGGAGG